AGGCCCAGGATCTGATTCGACATTTTTGCGGCAGACATTGATTGGACATTCGGCAGGGAGACTATTTTTCGATTTCGCTATTGTGATCTTGGTGTTCTCCCTCACCTCCCTCTTCGTCCTCCCCTTCCTCCCTCACCTCATCTTCCCATGTGCGTTTCAAAGGAGGGACCCTTCTTCTATGCATGCGGTCCCTCCTCTCTCACATGTTTGGTGTGTGATGGGTTGAGTCGCGTCAGTATCTGACAGGTCAGGTCATATCTTTGACTCTTCCGCTGCACTACATTGTGCTACTTTTGTATGTATCTGGATGTACATTGGCCGTTGATGCTTCGCTAATGTAGCATTACCCATTTGAGTCCTTTTCATCACTTTGCGGATCCTTTGGCTCCATATACATCGCTCGATTTATCATGTATCAGACTCTCTGAGCCTCCTCGCAAAGATACCGTGACCATGACTCCAAACAAAGAGATTCCCGTCCAAAAACATTGCGGCCACCCACAAGCATGCCTTCATCAAAAGACAGCCCATGCTCTACAGCAGGGAAAAATATTAGACCAGGTATGAATAAAGAACAACCAACAAATTATCCGACCACAAAAAAGAATAGCTCGCCAGTATGAGCCTGGTCCTAGCCGCTCAAATCTGCCAAGACAGAGAGCTAGCAAGGCCGGAACGTGTGTTGTCAAGATCCCCAAACTCTCTCTCTCAATCCATCCTCGAACCATCACAAACTATCCATAAACAAAAAAAAATGAGCATTATAATAGAAGGTGCAAGGTTCCCTATGTTTGTGTGGTTGAGCGGGAATTGCCCACACACCTGACTGCCGCCGAAGTGCCACACTTGCACAAATATATATAGTTTGTGTGTGTGTGTGTGTGTGTGTGTGTGTGTGTGTGTGTGTGTGTGTGTAAGAGCGTGTCTAAATTTCTAAAAGCACAGCGAATGACGCTCCAGCACACGTGACATGTACTCCACGCCATTGACTCATCGGGAACGCAGCCCAAGGACACAACATCAATACAAAATTCTTTCTCATCGGTCCCTTATGGTCATTTTCTAAAAGCCATGGACTCAATGAAAAGACTTCGGCTAGAAGCCACAAGGCATCAGACGACAAACAACAGCGACACACATACCATAGGCTGGAGGGAACGGCAGTGAACAAAAAAAAAAACACAGCACAAGACAACCAGCATGGCATAGGACAACAGACCACATCGAAGGACAGGCTGGAGGGCACGGGGGAGGTGGGAGGGCAGACAACAAACAAGCACACAAAACAGCCAAACCAGAAATAAATACAAGTCCCAAAAAACGCCAGAGCGAAAAAAATAAAGCTGACGATGAAAGATTGTTTCGTCGGAGTTTCACCGACTCGTCAGGAGGCTGAAATTCTCAGTCTGCCCAGGATGCATTTGGCTGATGGGTAAGGAGTCGCCACCTTGCCCAAAGCGATACCCTTGGGAGAAGCAGTGGACCTTGCTAACACCAACCATGCAATCATAGCAGACTGTCATTTTCAGCACCCTGGCATAATGGAGGTAAGTCTCAGAAGTGGTTGTCAATCACACCATAAAAGACCCTCTCGACATATGCACTAAGCGAGGGAAAACCGCTGACATCAGAACCACTAGTATGCTCCGCGACCCTATCCCACATCCAACCAGCTCAATGTAGAGCTAGCAAGTCTGTACGCCTTCGCAAGTTTCAGTTCGACAGCTGCTTTTGCCCTACCAAATCTTTTCAATTGAGTTTTTCTTCTCGGGACATGGGAGCCTCTATTCTAGCAACGTTGACCGACACTCTTTCATGACACGGGGGCCAATTCTTCAAGTAAGTGCTTTAAACTGCCCAGCGCATCAACGAAGACAAGTGCAATGTGACAGAGGAGGGACCAACGGTGTGTGTTTCTCTGTGATCCAACTGAACAAATTCACTATCTATCGTCAACTGGTAAGGCTATGTTTTGCAGGTGGAAAGTTGCCCAAGATTGTTGATCTTGAAGTCACTGGTGTCTCCTTGGTTACGGGATATCGCATTGTCTTAGCGTGTGTACTGTGATTTTGCAATTCTTCCAGAGACCTATGAAGACAATGAGCTGGAATGGCTATTCAACTTTGCGTATGAGACATTGAAAGGCCAGTTGGTAATCGGAGGCATATTCATTCAGGGCTTTGCAAGCGGGCAGTGGCAAGGATTCAATCTACCAGATCCAGGGGAGTTTGTCGAGTCCATCCAAGACTTTCTTCATTCGAATCTACGGCTGATCGTTTTGCCCGGCGCCTCAGAGGTTGTTGAGGTTTTTGAATCAGATGATGAAAACGACGACACAGGTACCAGCTACAACTTTTCTCAACCCTTTTACCTGTTGTATGACAGAGCGTGTTGGGTGTTGCTATCAGCCCTGGAGAGAGAGAGAGAGAGAGAGAGAGAGAGAG